AATAACTGTCAACTTTTAGACATCTTTTAAAACCTATAAATATTTAAAGACGAAAAAAACTTTTAAAGGGAATTTGTTTCGTCCACTATGCATATTTTGTTAACAGTGCTAGTAAAGTTTACTGACAGTATTAAAATTGCCTAAAAATATTGTCGACACAAAAGTTTGCCAAAATGTTTACATTGTGAGTTCTTGAGGATTTTATGTTGGCACTTCTGTTTGTGGTGGAGATATTTGAATCCACAGAAAAATATTTCTAACAGGAGGATTTTTAGAGTACGTATGTTCAACTTACGAGATTCTTCAGTTGTACCAATTAAATTCTAAAACATCAGAGCTTTAGACTCAATTCGCATTTCAAAGAATTTAAAAATAATACAGTTTTATTGTTGCTTATTGTTTGTGGTTTTATTCATAATTTTAGAAATACAAATTGAATCACTTTTACGTATCATCATGTCTGTATACATTATAAGGTATATTATCCGTTCACGATCTTTATATAGTAGGGTTGGCCATGAAAATCTAGTGAGTTTGTTGGTATTCTATGCAGAAGAATAAAAATTCCCTGAACTTTTTTCGTTAGGTTATGTTTTGTTAAATTAAAGGTTAAAAAATATGCCAGAGATATAAACATTGTTGCCGATAGTTTCAGTTGTCAGTAGCAATGACCAAGTTAACGGTATCCATTTCTTAGCAAGCATAGAACTTTACGCTATTTAAAACAGTTATTTGGCTTTTTGTAAATGTTTATTTCATATGTAAGGAACAAACACTAAAATTTCACTTAAACATTGTTTTTATATGAATGGGGGTTCTGCATACGACTATTGTCGCATGCCATATTTAGCATCGCATCTTTAATTCTCAATCATCAGTTCGTTCTGCTCGCCCACTCTTCTTAGGAATGGAAATTTCGATCTTTGTGAACAGCCTATTTCCATATCTTCCAACTTCTTTTTTCACTTTTCTAAGATTACTTGGTTGGTAAAAGACAACAACCTTGCTCTAGTGCTTTGATGGGTTTAGCTCTTCTGAAACATTTTTCCGGTCTTAAATTGAATGATTTATCTATATAGCTATTATTAATGCTTACGTAAGTGCTCTTTATTTGCTTTTACTAAGTACTTGCAAACGGTTATTAATAAGAACGTTACTATACGTCTTCTCCAGGTCCATGAAGAGTTACAAAAAAAAATTAAAATGCTTAAAATTTGGTGCAAAGTAGCAACGTGGATGATCTAAGTAAAATTACACTTATTTTGTTGTACGTCAGGTAGTGTTTCACATACTACCTTGGTAAATTTAGAACGAAAGATGCGTAAAAATATCACCTCCCTACAAGCTACAATTCACTCCATTTCCATTATTTCGTTATGAAAATCTGTATCATCACCGTCATTTTCAAATTCAGATTCTGAATCAGATTCACCTAGCGAAATAATGAAAGGAGGTATAGATTTGTACGAAAGATTTCCCATATTTTTTTCCCATTCTGCCAAAATAAGTTTTTCACAATGTTTACAAAATTTTTGGCACATGCTTGGAGAAAGCGCCTCAAGCTATAAATTTTCCACCCTATTTTGTAATGAAGGTTGAGAATTTATATGCTTGTTGTAATAGTTCTTACAAAATCCCCACGCCATTTCAATTGGATTATATTGACAATCATACGGAGGTAATCTAAGAACTTCATGGCCACTTTCTCTTAATATCTTTTTTTTCTATTGTTTCTGAAGGGTTTAATTAAATCCCACAACTGTTTCAACGAACATTTTTTTGTCGAATTCAACACTATGTTTAAAGAGCCATTCCTGCATTTCACATTTTTCACTAGAAAAAGTGGGTGGTTTATCCAACTGAACCGAATGATACGGTGCATTGTCTAAATCCACCACACATTTTTGGTTCAACTTTGCCAAAGCAGGAATGAGCTGATTAACCACCCAATTTTGAAAAATTGTCCCGTCCATCGTTTTATGATAGTCTCTATCGTTATTTTTTGAATTTATAAAATTGTTACAACCATCCAAGAACCCCGTTGAACAACCCGCGTGGAGAATAGTAAACCTTGATCCTTCACTTTTAATTTTGGTGGGATTGCTTTTTAGGTCAATATCGTGCACCCAGCGACGAATGGACGAACCATTTTGATAGATCCATGTTTCATCCAAATACACGAAAGTCAAATTTTCACAAGAATTTAGAAACTGTAAATATGTTCTCAAAAAAGTAATTTTGGCTGCAATTACATGGTTTGTTCACATAGAATTTTGCGACCATTTACTTCCCTGTGTTTATAACCCACTGACTTAAGAATTTTGTATAATGTGGTTCGCCCCCCTTTAAATTCCAACTGTTCCCTAGAATATGCCAAAAGAGTATCTACAGTGAAATATTCTTTTTTTCATTAAGTTGCCAAATTTGTCGTTGCAGATCTTTCCGAAACATATAATTTGTAAATAAATCCGTTGGTTTTGGCTTGCCAGATAGTGATGTTTTTAAATTTTGGTCCCCTGGTGATAAAATTTTCGCCACAGTTGATATTCCCACCTATGAGAAAAAAAAATAAAAAATATTTTGCAGCGTATTTTTACATTACAGAAAATATGTTCGAGACCCTCATAGTTACTTCTTCGAAAGAAAGATCGGGGCTGTCTTTTCGAAACTGCAAAAAACATCTTTTTATTGCAATTTTTTGTTGTAGGAAAACTATTTTAGGCATTTTCTTTTTAAATAATGTCGCAATGATCTGTGAATCTGTCACAATGAGAAATTATCTATGCTGACAAAATTAAAACATTTGTTTGCTTGATTAAAATTGCGTCTAATAATTCTGATCTAATAAATGACTACTGACAGACAACAAACAAAACCATCCAACTTAAAGAAAAAATATCAAAGCCTATTTTACTCTATAAAGATCGTGAATGAATAATACATTAAGGTGTGAATTGATTTTAAACATTTGCGGTGTTTATCAATTGTAGCAATTTATCAGTTCTATCTTCAAGACACCCAATTGAATGATGCTACATATGTTTATGTTTTATGCTTTTGTTGCTTGCATGCTAACTACTAGCAATCGAATGAAGGGGAGCTTTTAGACACTGTATGTTTAACTGAAAACGTTGTAAAAGATATTGGAATACGTATAAAATATGCCTGCGAGAATGATGCGTAGGTTCTCTCTACCAAATTATATGACGCCGGGAAAATTGATTTTCGTATCACAATATACCTGTGTATTAGGACTTATTAGAGTTGTAATGGATTCGTAATACCTACTTTTTTCTCTAAATTTTCGTTAATGTTCGCTGCTTGTAAAATGCTTCTGAGGTGGATAAATTACTAGATACATGAGTCAGTTTCCTGTGTTGTCTACTACTTACTAAAGACATATCAAAAGGTGAAGTTGCATATGCTTATTATTATAAAGACTATGTACGAATCTCTAAACATATGACGCTCCTTTGTTACAAGAAAATATCGGCAAGGATGCACTTAATAAATAAAATATTTATTTTAAGTTATTACGAAAGGGCGGCAATATTGAAAAACATTTACTGTACGGAAACGGAGTCTTGTGAATAATGCAAAATATCAAAGCTATCAATTTTTCTGTTATTTTATAAGCTGTGTTTACAGGTAATATACAAGTCAATTTGAATGCGCATGACGTAAACTTGCTCGTTTTTGATAGGTCACTTCTGTTTGTGTTGTAAAAGTATAAAAGCGACAATTTTAAAGATTTCATAGTGTGAAATTCAACGTGATAAAAAGTGCTTATGCTCCTTTTTACTGACAACAAGGACATTAGGGTGCGATTTAGTGCCGTCACTATTATATCTTGTTCGAAGAAGTGTGAGTTATGTGAGTTTGATTGAATTTGATATAAATTTCAAAAAACTTCTTGGATTAAACGTAAGTAGGGGAACGAGGGGCTTGTTGTAACAGTTTTTAGGAAAACGAATATAATTTGGTATCTATTACCTGTTTGACCATTATAAAAGTATCTATCGGTAGTCTAACTATTCCCCTATTGGACTGAACAGGCAAAAGGTCCAAATTGTTCATCTTCACTTCACACCAGCCATTTTCTTAAAAAAAGTGCATTGTTACAACTTGCCCCGTGGTTGGGGCTAGTTGTAACAGCCATGAGACAGGTAGTACCAGTAAAATTAAAGCTGATGTTGATACATATTTAGACTTTATTTTTCAAAAATCAACACGACACTTCATTATATACAATTTTTTTTCAGTAAAACTGAAATAAACTTTTAGAAAAAGAGTCAACATTAAAAATTTGAGTGTTGTCTTCCTTTTTCTTAATATATCTGAAAAGCGATATATGGCATAGGTCAAAATTTTGGCTCGCTTTTCGTATGCTAGGTACGAGATTTGTAAAAATGAATTTGGGATAAGTTGTAACATGTTACAACTTGCCCCAAAGCTATTGTTACAACATGCCCCGTAGCACAATTTTCTACATTTAATTACATTTCGACAAAATTATGTGGCTTAGCGTCAAAATGTGTAAGGAATATCAAAGTTGAGTAATTTTTGAGCTACATGCAAAACTAAAAGTTTTAAATTAATTAATAACTGATACGAAAAACCAAATTTTACTAAAGCAATATTTTACATTACTTGGCCAAAACGAAACACGTGCACACATCCACTCACTGCGCTGGCTCAAGGAACACTGGTTGTGATGACAACAATTAAATTCAGTAAAATACCTGACGTTAAAGAGTTTAAATTGTGGGTAAAAATTTAGTGTTACAACTTACCCCTGTTACAACAAGCCCCTAGTTCCCCTACTGGTAAAATAACTGATTTTCTTTAAGACTAAGAGTGTAATAGTTTTAGGTAAAACTTACCAATCATTTTTTTACTTTTTACTGACATTATTGTTATTGACAGATTTGTTGGTCTTCAATGAATCCCTCCATTAACACGTAAGTTGAAATAAAATGGTACAATAGTTTTGTGACAATATGTCTAGATCTCTGGATGAGGATGAGTTTCTTAAGCCCCCATTAACACTTCTGTGGTATGCTCGGCTTCACCCATTGCTTGATAGCCGTCGGTCCAAAGTTCAAAATGCAACAAACGTTGTTCTGTTCTGCGTGATAATTGCTTTGGCCATAAAAGGAATTCTAGTTTTTTACAAAGACGATATTTCGTTCGCTGCTGAATGTTTACAAACTTGCTTTTTAACGTCTCACGTAATATAAAAATAAAACAAAAAACACACATTTTTACAATTTTCTTATAGGTAGTAGGAAAAATGTTAATTTTACGTGTTTACAGGAAGAAAATTCTACAGTTAGTAACGCAAAGGTCATTGTTTTGGAAACCTGAAGATTTTACAAGCGCAACACAAAAAGAATGTTCAGTGTTTACAATGAGAGTGAAGAAGCTTTTGCGTGGTTACTACATTTTGGCTTTTACAACACTTATCCTTTATGATTTGCAACCAATTGTAGGAGGAATCGTTCCTACGGCGTGCTATGTACCTCCATTCTCATTCAAGTATTTAGTAGTACTGGCATGGTACTTGTCGGTTGTCGCTTGTCTGGTTATTTGTGGAATAGATAGTTTCTTTGTTTCACTTGCAACTTCTTTATGGTTACAGTTTAAACTACTACATTACAAAATTAAAGAAAATGATATCTGTACTGAAGAATCGGATAAACAGTCTTGGAAGAAAGTGAAAGAGTTTGTTGATCATCATGTATTTTTATTGAGGTAACACCAATGCAATATTGGACTAATGATTTTATTAAAACTTTTAGTTATTGTCAGAAATTAAATATAGCGTTTCAACCAATGTTTATGCTTCAATTTTTATTACCCGTCGCAAATGGTGCATTAGGAATATTTATTTCTCTACAACCGTAAGTTCAATTTTTTTGTGATCTATTGTAAGAACTGTTTCTTTTTTAGGGGTTTGTGGAGTAATAGAATGAAAAGTTTTGTGTACTTTGTTCGAACTCTAGGTGAAGCAGCCTTCTATTGTGTACCAGCAGAATTTTTAATAAGCAGCGTATGTTATAGGAGTACTAAGTATCAAGAAAAATTGAAGCAATTTTATTTTTAGGCAAACAAAGTTTGTGATGTAGTATATGAATCAAATTGGTATGAACTAAACAAAGAACAGATAAAAAAATGTTTCAGTCTTGTGATGATGAAAAGTCAAAAACTTTTAGTATTTAGTGCCTATGGTCTCGTTTGGATTAATCTAGGGACTTTAGTTGTGGTAAGTTATTAAATATTCTTAGAGTCAGCCTAAAATAACTTTTGTAGATTTATAAAACCATCTTTTCTTTTTTCACATATTTAAATTCTGCAAAAAATATGTCAACATAGTTGCTTGGGTCTATGGTAGATAACAACCGTTCTTCTTTATATTTGCGGTTTTAGCAGGAGCTTTACCTATAACGTGCTGTTTTATTCTGCAAAAACATGTAGATGTAGCTGCTTGGATCCACTGTAGATTTTGTTAATAAAATTAAGACAACTTTTTTCAGAAATCATTCATTTACCGTAATCACCTAAGTCATTTAATTTTCATTTTCATGTCATGTGTTGGTTTTTTCGATGTTAGTATTTGATTTTTTATTCCATTTAATATTTGCGTGTTGTGTTTATTTCAAGTATGCCTTGTTAATGTGATGTAAATTTGAATTAATGCATAATTTAACCATATGTAAGGTAATTTTTTTGTTGTGTTGTGACATTTTTAAATGTTGCTTGCTTTGTTGCTTCTAATTGTTCTAATATTCATTCAGTTGTGGTTATAAATTCGAGAAAGACAATATTTGAATTTTAATTGAAATAAAAGCACAAATGGATTTTTTAAATACAAAACTAAAGGGAAACTTGTGTGAAAGCTGCAGTTTGGACTAATTGGTTATTTTTCGAAGATCGGGTAATGAGGATAATATGCGGCGGATTTGAATTATTAAACTAAATTAACTAAATAATACATATTCTAACAGAGTGTTCCCTAATAAGTAAATTCAAAACAAAATATTCATGGCTTGGCGGTTACTAATATGAAAACAATAAATACTGAACTAAAATCTGCTGTTATAAAATAACGAAATTTTCACAATTTCACTCGTGCAGAATGCAAATTAAAACCCGCAATTGAGTTACTGCTGTTGGGCACTGTCGGAACAGGGCCCGATTCCAGCTGATAACCGCGACTAGACGCACGGTTTCCATGGCAACGGTGTAAACAAAACGTCTAAATCAGCCATGATTTGGTTTCCGTCTCCCCTTTTATCAGCACTTCATCAGCAATAACATACATATCCAAGACACAACATCTTTAGATGTAAGTGGATGTAAGGTTTGATAGATTTTATACAAGTGGAGCGAGATAAAAAAATTAGTTTTGATAATTATGTCACAAATTTCTGGATAATTTTGAAAATATTGAAAATTACGATTTTGCTATGTTCATTATGCAATAGTGTAGGAAAGTAAGTAAAATTTTATTTTCATTATATAATATATTTATTTCAAATAAATTTCACAAGTACATAAGTATTTGGATATTTCACAATATTCTTTTGGTGGTGAAGGTACAGAGCATGCAATTGCAATTTTTTTACAACATGTAATAATCGATAAAGTTTTATCTGTTTGCTCTCAGATAACACTGACCTATAACCAAAAATGATCATCAAGAAAAAAGTACGTGGACTTTGCGAAGTTGGAGGTGTTGATCCTAAATTAGTTTTTTCTTACACGTCAGATTATTGAGATAGATGATCGACATAACACTAGGAATACACATTCATAACTTCGAAATATATATTTTTGACGAAAATGTGACCATGTCAGAGACCGACGTAAATTTCCTAATGACATATTTCGGATAGGTAAATACCTTATTTTTATGATTTTCTGATTATAAATATTTTGAGAAAACTATGGGTGCTAGAAAGAAAAGTAGACCAGTGCAATTTATGTCACAGTCAGATTAAAAAAATCATTCATGTCTGAATTTTCCTTGCAGAATTCAGATATGTGTAAAAAGAGAACACTGTCTTACATATCTAGAACAAAAAAAAAAATATATTATAATTTTTCCCAAATACTCAAAATAAAAAACACCACGTACCTGTACAAATGTCCGAAGATTAATCCAAACTAAACCATACGCACTAAAAACAACAATTTTTTGACTTCTCATTACAACAAGAACGAAACATTTTTGAAGTTGTGTATTCTTTATTTGATACCAATCTGATTCAAAAACAGAATTACTTATATCGTTCGCCTGAAAAACAAAAATTTGTATTTCTGATATACTATTAAGAACAACCTACAGCATTTGCTACGAATTCTAAAGGAACACAGTAGAAGGCCGATTCTATGGTAGTTGCAACAAAGAACAATAAAAACTTCATTCTATTAATCCAAGCGCCTCTAAAGTATCAAAAGTGGTTAGAATTTCAGTAACCTTACACCACACTTACGGCTGCATAAAAATAAAAACGGATATCGCACCAGATGCAATCGCCAGTAAAAACTGAAGAAGAAATATTCCTTGAAAAGTTGAGTTCAATTTCTTTGAAAAACTAAAATTGTATGAAATTATTGCAACCAGTTGTCAGTACATAGTAACCTACCTTAATAAAAAGTTGTGATAATTAACCAAGTGCTCTAATTCAGCCCACGATTTCGCGTTATTTTTGAAACCAGAGTCAGATAGTTCCAGTTTCTTAAATTTGTGTCCAAGCAGTTTAAATTGTATAAGAAGAGAAGTGGCAAGCGAACAAAAAAAACTGTCGGTTCCAGGAAGAGTCATCAGGACTACACCAGACAAATACCATAACAAAACTGTTAAATATTTGAAACTCCCTGGGGGTATGTAACATCCTGTTGGTAAATATCCCGTTGAAAAAGGTTGTAGGTCAAAGAAAATGCACACGAAAAAATTTAAACCGTAATAATAACGAAATATATTTCTAATATTTGTAGAAATGCTTCTACACTCCTCGTATATATCTCCGGTAAAGTCTTTAATTCTCCAAAACTTTAATTTGTGGTCAAGTAGTTGAAGTAGAGTTGATCTGTGTAAACGTAAAGTTAATATTATCCCAATGGCCTACAAAGACTTGTGATTAAGTAAATAAAAACAATAATAACTTTATACGTGAACCATCAGGAAACAAGTCTGCAGACATTCTGCTGTAAAAAATAAATTGTCTTTGTAAGAGAGGAAAACACCTTCTAATGCCAGTGCTACGAATAAACAACACAGTAAGATATTTATCGGGCTTAAAATCGTGGACCAAAGTGGATTAAGTCCTGGGTGAAGACGACCATACCATAGAACTTTTAGTGGATCAGTGGATAAGTCATCTGAATCAAGAGTGCTAAAAATGTGGACAACAAAGTTAACACCACAAATAAACAATCAATAACTTACATGCTGAAGCTGGACTTCATGTGAAACATTTCTCAAATTTATTTTATGTATACCAAGTACACCGACTGATTACGTTCAACTGCCATGAGAAGAATGTGACCTGTGCACTACTTTACCGAAAATAAAGGCTGTGGGGCGTCTATTCCTCTAAACCTTTTTTAACCTCTTTGTGACTACAAAATTAACTCACCCTAATACTACAAACAGCAAGTATTAGAATTTAAAATTTTTATGATAAGGTAAAATTAAACTTTGAGATAAAAGTTATTCGGGTTTCGTGTCACCTATTTAATGTATTTTTAAACTCAAACGTAGCTACCAATCACCATAAACCTTTGATGCAAAATTAATTTGTCTCTGCCCTAATTAAAGGGCGGTTTAAAATTACAGAATCGTGTCTTATGTTTTTATTTTTAAATGTATCGTTAAAGAAGGTCTTTCTGTAGTTTACCGACAATGTTTGTACAAGAATGGATTGCGAGGTTGTAGAGTAAACATTAGATTTGTTATTGCTATTTTAATTTATATATTGTAGATCCTGATGTTAGTGGTTACGTGTAAAACGAGAAGAATGTACGATATATGATATTTTGGGTGCATATATCTATTTTTTTGTTAAATGGTGATTACTTCTATTGGGAGGAAGAAAGTAAGAAAAATGCCACATTATTTTTAGCACAAAATATAGACAATGCTGTGAAATGAAATGTTAGTCGATATAATTAATAATGTTGCAGGTGAGTAAAGATGTTAAAATTAGTAAATCACTGCCATTGAAGAACAAACAAATTCGACAAATACTAGATTTAAAAAAAAAAAATTGTTATATTATGATAAATGTAGGATAAGATAAATGTATCACTAAATTTTATCATATTTTATCAACGAACTTTGGTCAAAAATGAAATCATCATCAACGTTTCGGACTAGATGAATAAATAAATTTTAGGTATGAGTTAGTGTTCTAAAATTTCGTAAGAAGTCGGTCGGATAATTTTTAATATGTATTAATTCGATTATCGGACATTTTTATATAAGTTAAAAAATATATCGAATTAAATATTTCATTTGACGCTATTAAAGTATAGAAGAGATCAGTGGACAAAATTTGCGGTTGCCAGAAAAATCCAGTAAATTAGAATTAAATATTAATAAAAAAAATATTTTTTTATACAACGGAATTTCTAAAAAATGGAACAATTTATAAAATGAACGAAATCTTTCTCTTATAGCAATTCCACGTTTAAAATTAATCAAATTAGAACGTATCGTAGTCATATGGTGCTCTTGGCCGGCTCTTAAAACATTCCACTGCACTATATTTAATTAAATCTCGGTATTCTTAACATTGAAAAAGAATAATTAAAGAAAAATCGTGTGTTATACACAGAGAAACGTACTGATTACAAACCCTCACATCTGCAGCTTAACTAACACTGCCATATTTTTATATTTTTCATTTTTATACTTTTTGTAATTCAAACAAATAACCAATCAAATGCTACATAACTTGAGAAGCGTGCGCAGTTAATTGGCTTGTACACTTATAGATGACAGTTTAAAATATGTAATTGTTTCGTCTTTATGTTTTACATTATTCATAAATACCTGACTACGTGAGGTAAATACTTTTTAAAATTACCGTTTCTCGTAATTAGTAAAATAAATATTTTATTACATGCAACCGATATTTTTCTTGCAAGAACGGACGTCTAAAAATAACATGCAGACGTCGTTGTTTGTAAATTAATAATACTGTAAGATGCAATTTGACTCGATATTATTGGAGTAAAAACATTTAAGAACACACACTTTATTTCTTTAATTATCTCCCCAGGTAAGTAAGTATTGTAATAATTTCACGTTTTCTCAACGCTTCATGACCCTCCAGTATGAAAAAAGTAAGTTTCCCGTTTCCGTCTGTCTGTCGTCTGTGTCGACTTTTATTAGCCAAACAATCTTCGAAATTACTGGACCGATTGTTGTAAAAAATCTCCACCAACAATTTGATGACATCCCCTATGCGTTGTATAGTTAAGTCACCTAAAAATTTTGTTTAACAAATGTCAGTTATACTCCTGTTCTAGTTATTATAACTTTTATTGTTTAACATTTATATAAGTAAAGCTGTTTTTTAAATTATATCTGAAACGTGGAATAAGTGCTAAGAGTGTTCGCTTTGAACTTGAAAAACCCGGGGTTCGCCAACTTATCCATTTTTTTGTCACCTTTTTTTTAACGCTTTGTTGGACCCTTCGATTTTTTAGCTTATTTGTGTTCAGTGACCACTTTTGTGTGTGGATATTATTATCCCGTTTTTGTTGCATTTTTTGTGCTTCTTTTTTGGGTCGTTTTCTTTCGTCATGTTTTTGTTCCATTTTCATAATCTTTTCTGGCACCTTTTTTAATCGCATTGTGTGCACTCTTTTTTATCGCTTTTTTGCCCTTTTTTCCTTCCCGAGTGTAAACTAAAGTTTTGTAATAAAGTCCGACGAATGGATACTTTCATGTTTTCTTGCGTCTTGCGTTTCCGCCTGTCTGTCGCCTTTCGTCTGTGTCGATTTTTATAGATCATAAAACGGTAAGAAAATTTGGTTACATCATCCCCATTTGATCACATCCCTTCATCATTTTTACAGTTACGGTTATCTACATAAATTTTTTGAAATAATATGGTGCTGTACTTGTAGTTTATTATTCTGTCTTAATTTATATCACAATTTGAATTTAAATTTTATAAAGTAACAAGCTCCTGTACTTGTGTGGTTTATGCATCTGCCTTGAAGTTTTCCCCTCAGGTATCCAAATTTTTACAAAAATTCGAAATTGTGTATTAACCTTTTATACTTATTAGTAAAATATATTATACTAAAATCCAACCATTAACCTCCCGGCCACGACGTATTTGCTGCGTGATCTCGGCTACATGAAAAATTTTTGTGAAGCAATTATGATAAAAACAAGGTGGATTCGTAAACTACAAGTACTTCAGGAGCGAGGGAAGTTCTGTCTAAATAATTTAGACCAAGGTTTTTATTTTGTTCTTTATCATTGTCTTTACTATTTTTAAATTAGAAAGTAACAATCGTATATTTTTGGTTATGTAAATTTTAGATAACGGGTGTACAATTAAAAATATATTTGTAGCATACAGTGAAAATTCAGTTATTTACAGCCTTTTTAGAGTGTAGAAAGAGACATTAAAAACTGACGGTTATTGATAATGACATTTACCTAACAACGAAATAATGTTAGGTTAGAAAACACCTTTTCATTTTGGTGCAAATCTGCTTAACGTAGATTACTGAAATAAAATTAATAAATAATTATCCGGTAGATGGCACCTTTTCATCAACATAAAGAAACCATCTTTGAGTTTTTGAAAAATTTTGGTTAGCTGGCACTGTTTCAGAATTGAATTATTAAAAACAAAAAAATCGTGGAAGGCTATTTCGACAGGACTTCCCTGAAGTACAGTCAAATACGTCAAGCTTTTGTGAAAAATAAAAAAAAATATTTTTAGGTCTTTGTGATAAGCTCTATACATTCAACAAACGACATCCTACATAAATTTATTTTGATAGGCTATAATTTGTTTTTGTTTGTCTATGACCTGCAACTATATATTATATATACTTCCCAATTATCTGTGATTCGAATGCATTATGTTACGAAAAAATTGATAAAAAAAAGGCTCTGCCTGTATTAGGGAGTTTTCCGATTTGAAAATTTTGCATTCAACATTGTTTCAACAAGGACACGTATATGATCGTTTTCCGGGTTGGGACCGTGTGAATTGTGTATTCGGGCTCAACGTTTCGCACATTTTCGTAAGAGGTCTTCAGGTGCAGGGTTAAGAAATTAGGAAGAAGGCAAAAGAGCACGGTAACTCAGTATGTCAACCATACCAGAGAGGAAACCTTTCTGGCCGTAAAGAATGATGTTGTGATCTTAGAGACTGGGACGAAATTCCGGTGGGACGGACGGTCCGGAATCTCGCCGATAACGTGTGGGGGCGGCGTACTTCGGTGCCAAGCCTTGGGCGGCTTCGGTCAAGAGCGGCGGTCGCTCCGGCGCCGGCCCCCTCTCCGGAGAAGGGAGCGCCGGGCCTGCTCTCAACCCGGAGACACGGATTTCAGGTGGTGAGCACCCGCGAAAGCAAGATAATAAAATAAAACGGCAAGAAATATTTTACACAATAAATCGGTTTTATTCCCTGCCACCATTTACATGGCTAAAATAGTAATCTTACGGCTAATAACTTAAATAACGACAAATCAAATTAAATAAACAAAAGAATAATTAAACGTGCGCGATTTCCTTCAGGACGGGCTCCTCCTGGACTTGGGGGCGGCGACCTTGAACCTGGAAATCGCGCGAAGACGGTACCCGGCAGGGGAGTGCGGTGGTGGTACCCTACGACGATTTTGACTTGTGACGGTGACGACAGAAAAAACCGGTCACGTTCGGGGGCGGCGATTCAAAAATCGGTACACAAACGAACAGAAAACCCAGAACGGTACTTATGATGATCGGTCTCACCTGGGGGTTTTGCACTTCTCAAAAACTCACACTTCAAAACCAAGACACCATCCACAGCACTTCTTCACCTTTCAAGACTTCAGACAAGAATCCTATTTTTTCGCTTAAAAAGCAAATGGCAAATGTTTGTATCTTTAGAAAGTAAAAATGAAAACAAGAGACGTTCCTTTATTCAAATTTATGTACAGATGTGAGACGATAGGGAAACAAATAAAGATCTTTTAGAATCATACTAGCGGAACCCGGCAGACGTTGTCCTGCTTGTGTATATATTTACTTTGTATATATGTGGATATAAATGTATGGTCTGGAGCGCAGAATGCGTTGTAGAAAATTGAATAATAAGATAACTCATATTGATGCTATTAAATTTATTTTCATTAATATACACATTTTTGTATTAGTAATTCACGTGAATGAACAAAATTTTTGACTATTGTATTCGCTATATAACTGAAACAACGTGAACACATTTTAATCAATACTAACATCTATCGTAACGCTAGTGGGTAATAGTTATTTACATAATGAGTGAGGTAGGTAACATTTTGCAGATTGAGGTCCTAATTTGCCACCCGACGCGAAGCGCAGGATGGCATGGGACCGAAACCTGCAAAATGCCTAACGCACGAAAATTGTATTCAATTTTTTCCCCGACATTGAGTTTATTTTAAAAAATATTTCTTTTTAAAAATATTTTCCGAAATGAAGTGACAGTTTCGGGACTTGACGTTTACTAAAGGAATCTATAATACAGACAGCCACGAGATGGCGCCATGTGATTTTTTTTAAATAATTCATTTTTTCTCATTCAAAAGTTTTGATTGAACAAAACATGATGTAAAGTAGTGTTCTAGTATGTTTTCTTTTATTATTTAATACAGAACTTTTTTTATTAGAGCTTCTACAGGCTAATGCATATTGAGTTACTTTGGCACCCAAAGGCGGTAAAGCGATATTTGGTGCGTAAAGTCACTGTTACGCGGCATCTCAAACGTGTGTGAATATTTTGTTTACATGTCAGGAAGGGAAAAACAATATTTTTGGTTTTTCGATTTGGTGTATAGACGTACAGAGTTTTTGGAGTTCCTACTCTGGAGCAAGCAACATACAGCTGACAATGCGAAAAACATGGATTTCCTAAATTCAATCCAGCAACGCGCAGAGACTGCCCTTGGGCTTTGTTGATTGTCATCGCGAAAGCAAGACGCACAGGAAACTGTAGTCGTTTGAATGTAAAGGGCAAATCAGTAGGAAGCATTGGAATGCGCGGAATCAGTTTGATTTTTTGGGTGGCATTTTCAATAATCTCTAGTAATTCACTTTTTGTTATTACTGAGGATTGTAGGCAGTGAACATCACTAATTATTTTCTTTTGCGGTCAATACGATTTTTGTTGTAATACCAACGAAAACAATGTTGTCATTGGTGCCGCCATATATCTAATACTTGCTAACTCTCCAGAAGTAACATAGAAACGGTGTTAACGGACAAAGGGAAACGGAAGATATTGTTTTCTGTCTAGAAAAGTACCGAGGGTCTGTGCGCACGTACACAAAATAGAAGCGAACGTATGAAATGTCTAAACACATCTAGTCACGTTATCGACTAAAAATCAAGCAAGTACGAGTATATGAGCAGTACTGTTTGGTACTATAGAGAGACAAAGAGGTCCGATATATTGCTCTGCCGTTGTGTTTTCGGACTCTTTTGAGGCCTGATAGCAATATAGTAGTATTAGATATATGGGTGCCGCTGATTCTCTAAGTTCATAATACTTTAACAGAGAGGTTGATGTGCTGCAGTGCCATCTAGTGGCATGTTACAGCAAAATCGATAGCGCGAAAATATTCTCCATGATCAAATCCCAACGTATATCAATTTTCATGAGGATCGGTTGATTGGTACAGAAGTTGATGTGGTGCAGCGCCATCTAGTGGCGAGTTACAGCAAAATGGATAGGGCGAAAATATTCTCCATAGTCAAATGCCAACGTGTACCAATTTTTATGAGAATTGGTTGAACGGTGTAGAAGTTGATGTGCTATAGCGCCATCTAGTGGCTAGTTACAGCAAAGCGGATACCACAAAAACCTTCTCCATGAAAAACCACTTACATGTGCCAAATTTCATGGTGATCGGTCAAACGATTTCGGAGCCTATCGATCACAGATATATATACCAACATCCATTTTTATATATATAGATTACATGTACCAACAGACAAACCAAGTTATTGTGATAAATGATGGATAGAATAAGTACCCGGGGTTTCTTCCATTACTTTAAAAAGTTCTTTGGACAGCCGCTTCCAGGTTTCGTGCCACAGAGCCATTTTGTTCGAAATTTTTTATACAGACGTTTAAAATTTGTCGAATTCTCTACGGCAAAGTTAGGTCAGGTCTGGCCAGGTCAGGAAAACTGACATATTAGTTCTGAAAAGAACTGATTTTTACCACCCAAAAAGAAAAGCTGTCAAGTCAAATGTCAATTATCTGTCAACCCACTAGATGATGAAACTATCCAAGCTCTAATTCGGTTGCCTTCTTAGTTTCCGAAAGTAATAAGTACCTGGTTATGAAGAAAAACGGCTAATAATAATTTCAAGGTCTGCTACAATCACATTTTTTATTGTACACTCGTTACATTCAGTGCTATTTGTCCTACGGAGTAAGTTGAACTTACCAAAAGAAGTATTTGAAGTCCAAAATAAAAAAAACCGAAAGATTGCTCCAAATTATTACTCGTTTAATTCACAAGTGCTCAATAAGAGTGCTACATACAACGAAGTTGACATTACTTCACTGACAATTTTTGTGCAGAATTTAAATATGTATAAAAAGAGAAGACAGTTTTACATATCTAAAAATCCTTTTCAAAGTTAAATATCATTCTTACCTCTACCTATAAGACTTACTAAAATATAGGTTCGAAGATTCATGTTAATCATTCCATACGCGCTGAATATGACAGGTTTCTGAGCTCTGTTAATAATAACACCCAAACTTTTCTTGAGCTGAACCCCGTCTATGTTATACCAGTTTGAATCATAGACAGCATCGTCTATTTGTTGAGCCTGAAAAAGGTTATGTGAGAACTTGCCATTTATTAGTCGTATGAGTCAAAAGTCGAATATTTTTGAAAATTTGAAAAAAGAACAAATGAAATATTTTTTTAAGAAACTTAGAAGTAACTTACGATATTCATGGCAAATTCTAAGGGCACACAGTAAAAGCCTGTCTCAACAATAATAGCTGCAAAGTACAACAGAAATTTTATTCTGTTGGTCCAGTCACCTCTGAAAAACCAAATTAACTTTCGTCTTAAATCAAAAGTCAAGCTTACGGCTGCATAAAAATGAAAACAGACAAAGAAGCCGAAGCGATGGATATCCCAAACTGAAGCAAAAAAACGCCTCTAAAAACCACATTAAGTTCTTCGCAGTAACTGAAAACGTAGCTATACATATTGACTGATGTTCAAAATTAATACAATACCTTAGCAAATAATTGTGGTAATCAATTAGCTTTTGCAGCTCGCTCCAAATCAGATTTTCCCCTGTATTTTCGTCATTGCTAGAAGGAATCGTCAAGTTCTTGAACTTGTAAGCCAACAACTTAAACTGAACAGTTAGAGAGCTCGCCAGCGAGCAAAAGAAACAATCCGTTCCTTGTACAGAAAAAAGAACAACACACGACATGTACCACATCATAACTTTGAGAAAATTGTACCACCCTTGTGGTACGTAACACCCTGTAGGTAAAAATCCTGTAGTGAGTGGTTGCAAATCAAAAAAAATACCAGCCGACATGGCTGTGAAAAAATAAAATCGAATGATTTTTTTAACGAAAGTGGCAATAATTAAACACTGTGGGTACAGTGGTGTGTCTTTAAAATCAACGACTTGCCAAAATTTTGATTTTTTCTCAATCAATCTTGCTAAGTCTCGTTTATTAGAGTGCATGATGACCAGTTTGACGCTTGTCTGGAACAAAATAGTAGCTCGTATAAATTGTGACTAAAATACTTACATGTGTTAGTAAAATACAACTTTGTAAACATTCTGACATAAAAAAGAGGTCGTCGTTGTACGAAAGTGTGATACCTTTTACTGCTAGAACTATTATTAAGAAAGATAGAAACACGTTGACGAATACAATCAAAACAATCCATTTTGATTTAAGATTTGGATGCAAACGAGCATACCAAAGCATTTTCAGTGCATCTGTTGACATATCCGCCGGTTTTGGGGTCCTAAAATATTATATTTTTAGTAAGTTTCTTTTGAAAGCACGTACGCGTTTACCTTTTTGCTTTTATAGCCATTTTAACAATGATTATTATTTGAAATGAATTATCTTGTATAAACTAATAAGCCAAGCAAGCAGCAGTGGCAGCGACAAAAACTATTTTGCCTTTGTCCTGAGACAAACCTCTTTTGATATCCTTTGTTACATTTTTTATTGGATGGGGTGAACGTTACATCTTTAATTAGAGGTGTCTTATTATAGTGTTTTAAAATCCGACATTTAGTTTGACGTTCTCTTGGTTCGTTCCTTTGATGTAAAATTAATTTACCTTACCTTTAATTAAAAGGGAAAAGTTGACTTAAAAAAAATTATGGTGTTTATTTTATAAGGAGGGTATTGGAGTTCTCGTGACCATCAGCTTCAAAAAGTACATTAAATGCTAATTAGACTGTTGTGTGAAACGTTGAATAAATTGGGTGATAAAAACACGTTGAGTTATTTCAAGAAAAGATTTGTGAAGTTGTTATAAATTGAACAGTTGTCGAAAGTGTTACAGGAAATTATTATTCTTTAAAGTAAAAAGCGGTATGTATTTCTACTAAAAATAATAATTCATACATAATATTTTAAATACAATATTTTTCATCGTAGGGTGTGATAAACTGTGTTATATAAATTACGTTCGCTTTGTAAAATATGAGAGTATTAAACCTCTCTGCTAACGGATTTTTTAGATTTTCTATTTAAGTTTTATGTTATAATTTTCCGTGTGAAATATACATAAATCGGTATTTTTAATGCGAAATAAAATCAACAAATGAGGAAAATCTCGTTTAATAGTTTTGAGTGTGGTTACTAAAGAAATGATTAACTAGGATAGATAGTCCGATTTCGTTAGACATAAAACAAATACTTGTTTTGTAAAGCATTTATCATTTGTTATTGTTATTATTATCATTTAATTGCAATAAGGTGATGTGATGGAATCACTTTCTCGAAGTAAATAGATACTGGAATAGATTCTTTCTAGCGAATTGCTACCTTTATGATTTCTGGATGTTCCAGTATGAAAAATTGTACTTCCGGTTCCGTCTGTCTGTCGTTTGTCTTTATCGATTTTTATTAGAAACTACAGGACCGATTGTTGTCAAATTTTGTATGTATGTTAGGAATATCGTGTAGGTAATAAAACGCTAACCAAAATTGTTTAATCGTGCCCAAGAAGAAATTCTAGGATGACTAGGTTAGAAATCAGAAAAATCGTCGCTATTTGTGGTTTATGAATCCGCTTTAGTTTTTACCCTATGCATTCAAATTTTTGCAAAAAAAAAAAAATATACTATTACTATAAGCGACACGAGAATCGCGTCGTAATAGTACAGACGTCATTCTTATTTTCTATATATAGATTTATTACAAAAAATACACTTTTGTAATTTTTAAAGAAGCGGGATTTGCTGGAATTCAGAGGCAAGGAAGGTTCGGTCTAAATAACTTTGACTATTTTTTAGTTATGTTATTTTATTAGACAAGCTGATTACTTTCAATTCCTATCAAGATTTTTGTACAATCATTTCCTCCAAAAAATTGAGGACGTCATCTCAATAATTTTGTTACTTTTTTGACATTTTTCAAAAACACTGGCATTTATGTACTGAGAACAAAATAATGACTAAATTTTATTTAATCATTGCACTAAGTTGTAGTGTTATTTGTTATTTTTGTTTATAATTTTGTTTTTATAATTGCTTATACAGGATGTCCCACAATATTAATAAAGCGATTTATTACATTAGTTGGATTAGAAGCGTTGTAAACACTATTGTTGGATTTGATATTAAAATCTTTTCATAAAATTAATAGATTTCTTTCAACGAAGGGGTTGATGTCATCATAATTTTTCACTATATTATATAGATACAGCTTCACCTACTATCGTACTGGTGAAATGTGTACTATTAAATAAAATTTTGCTCTAAATAAAAAAAATTGTGCGAACGTATTTTTTTCAAAAATCACTTATTTAATTCACCTAAAATTTTGAAAATACGCTTACGTTATAATCGACATAAAAATATTTTTCCTCACATAAACTTTGTCACCCTTTTTCATCTTCTTATTGGTGAAATCTCAAAAAATGCTTAAATGCGTGGTTAATTATGCATTAATACTAAATACCGCAGGAAAAATTTGCAATATAATTTTTTTTTTGCATACAAACTTAGCCACCATGTTTCACCCCCTTAGGGGTTGAATCTGGGAAAATGCTTAAACGTGTTTCATTATTTGCATTGAAGAGCATTAATACCAAATTTTAAATAAACATCACATTAAATAATTTTTCTCATCCAAACTTAGACACCACTTTCACTCCTTAGGGGGTGAATCTCCGAAAGTGTTTAAACACGTGCTTCATTATTTGTGTTGAAGAATCAGGTTTTACGTAAACATTACCAAAAAAATATTGTTTTTCTATTCATTAAGGTTGAAGTTTGTCATTTTCCCATCGCTGGCAGTGGATGAAATTTCATTTCACCCTCTAGTGGAAAAATACTCGGCCGTCTACGATTTTAACGGGTCGTCCAGCCTGAGCGTTTCGCAGCTAGCGAAACGTGTCGCGTATCGCCTGCACCGACCGCACCGTCCGCTTCGCGCGCTTCGAAAATCATGACGCCTAGGCTGGACGACCCGTTAGTGTTTGACGTTTAATACTGCTAGTTTACACAAGTGAAAACAATGAACATGAGTGAGACTGACGAAGTTTCTGAAGAAATTTTGAATGCTGCCAATGCGGCATTTTCGAATCTGATACAAGTGCAGTTATTGATACAGGAAGCAGCCAACTAAGTTTAAACAAAGATACAAGTTCAAATAATACTTACGATAAAAGTGTAAATATTATTGGTGATAATTGCACAAATTGTTCTATTACAGTTAATGTATTTCAAAAATAAAATACCTACCATAAACAAACATTTATTTCCTAATTTCTTAGAAAAAATAGTATATGCAACTCGCGGATGAAGAAATTTCAACGGCTCGAGTTTCTTTTTCGCACTCGCTCGTTGCACTCGCTCGTGTGAAAAAATCACTCTCGCCGTTGAAATTCAACTTCATCCACTAGTTCCATAATGTACTATTTTCATACACACCCCTTTTCACCCCCTTTGGAATAAAATCTCGGAAAATGCTTAAATACCTACGTGATTCATTATTTATACTGAAGAGCATTAATACCAGGTTTCACGTAAAAATGTAAATTTACAGTAGAAATACAGTATAACCACGATAATCCGAATTAATTGGGGAAAGGTGTGTTCGGATTAGCGATTTGTTCGGATCAGAGAATTTCCCAAAAAACTGAAAGGGAATTGAACAACAACTTCATACGCTTTTTTTAATTTTATTAAACAGAAATATAGTATTCTTAACCAACAATGGATAACAGATACATTCGAAAAAAATATTACTCCGTGACCATAACCACGCTATATTTTTGGAATCAACACGTCGGGACATATATATTTCTGAATTTTTTCAGAATTTCTAGACAACTTTTTCAAAAATGAAATTTCACACTATGGTAGTACTTGCCAAATAACTTACCCTCTAAGAAAATAAAAAAAGAGTTTCTAAGAAAAGGTACTAGTAACGCCCACCCACCCTTTATTTTCTTAGAAGAGTAGGTCATCTGCCAAAATCAATCTTATCTTGGCAAGTATGAGACTAACTTTTGCAAATGACAGATCCTCTAAGAAAATAAGGGTGGGTGGGCGGGGCTAGTACTTGTCAAGATAAGACTGGAGCAGGTTATTTGCCAAAATGAGTCTTATTTTGGCAAATACTAGCCCGGCCCACCTGCCTTTTATTTTCTTAAAGGGTAGGTTATTTGGCAAGTACTAGCAAATTTCGACCCATTTTTTCGATAACTTCAACCTTTTTTTCCAGAATTAGTTAATTAATTCAGTGCATTTTTGTTCGGATTAAAGAGATATCGACTTCAACTAGCCTCTGTTCAGATTACTGAATGTTCGGATAATCGTGGGTTCGGATTATAGAGGTTATATTGTATTGGTCCTACACAAATTTTATTTTCAGCCCCTTAAAGGATGAATTTCGAGAAATCCCTTCTTAAAGGATGCCTCCAGTATAAAATGAACATCTTCTCCAAATTTCACATTTCTATCACTAGCGGCTTGGGCTAAGCGTTGATAGGTCTGTCGAGCCATTACCTTTTATATTTGTGTATACAGATTCTTAAATTACAAATAAAATTTGACAACAATCAGTCCGGTAGTTTTTGAGAGTGTCTGTCTAATAAAAATCGACACATACGACAGATAGAGACAGACAGACGGAAACGGGGGTTATGAAACATCGAGAAAACAGGAAAGTAACCATTCGCCGGATGGACACTATGACAATACTTGCTTTGTTCACGCCAGGGAAATGAAAATACATTGAATTCTGTGCGATATTTCTTGATATTTAGAACTACTTCAGTTTAAATTAAAATTGTTTTGTAAACTCTTGCAATTTTTGTAAAAATCACTTTCACTTGTGTATTTCGATAGGCTTTATAATAAATCTAGAAAAATATGTGTAGATTTGTTATTCCTAGTGTATGTTTATTTGAACAAAAAGTGATTTTTAAGGAATTTCTACAGTTCCTTTGAAATCAGTGATACAGGAAGCGAGAGATTTAATCCAGTTTTCGTGATATTAGAACAAATGTTCAGCTGTAAAGTCCAGCAAAAGATAAATGCAAACGCCGTCAATTATTTTATGAGGGGTATTTAGTACTTTATACCACAACGTGCAATAAAACCATTACACAATAGGAATGCCTTTACTGGAGATTTTACAGCGGCAATACTCATAACTGGAGTCATTTGCATTTATCTTTTGCTGGACTTTACAATATTTGCCATTTCATATTGTTGACGGTGAGTACACAGAGTAAACAAGGAATAATTAAAGTAAAACATATTTATTATTTCTTCTGGCAATTCTGAACCTTTGTTGGATAAAAAAAATCATTGCAGATATTTTTAACAGTTAAATATACACATTGAT